CAGGTAGACTTAAAAAAAAAAAAAAGCATCAAAGGTTTGTTTATTAATTTTTGAAATAAATTTAATACATAAAATATTTTCTGAAATTTATGAGTTCATTTCTTTTTTTAAAATAGTATATTGCACAAACAGCTAGAGCATTAAGTTATATTCACCAAAAACACGTTATTCATCGAGATATAAAACCAGAAAACTTGTTGATAGATTTGAATGATGAGATCAAGATTGCAGATTTTGGATGGTCTGTGCATACGATTCAAAGGTATGCAACAAAAAGAAGTTATGTTATTTATATTTGAAAGAATTTTTCAATTATGTTGCTTTTATATATAAAGCATAAAACATTTTGTGGTACATTGGATTATTTTCCACCCGAAATGATAGAAAGCAAAGATCATAATGAAAAGATAGATCTTTGGTCACTTGGTGTTTTGTGCTGTGAACTTTTGACTAGTACTGCACCATTTGAAGAAACTGGTCATACTGCAACATATAAATGAATTGCAAAAGTTGAGTTCACACTTCCTGATCATTTGTCATTTGAGGCTTGTAACTTGATTTGTTCGGTAACTATCTTTAAATATTTAAAGTATTTTGCTAATAAAGTTAGTGTCGATTTTAATTTTATATTACAAACATAGTTACTACAACATGACCTAAAACAACATCTGCCTTTGAAAGATGTCTTGAAACATCCATGGATTCAAAAATACCAGAAAAACCTGTGAATATAATTCCTTTATAGCTATATTTATCTATAGATATTCTAGCACTGTTATCATTAGTTACTAATTAATTATCGTGTTAAAATTTATTACAAAATTTGAGTCCTCAAAAAGACGGTCTATTAATCCTACTTTGAATCCACAATAAAGTGTATAGAAAACTTTAATATCTACAAATTTGCTTATTGGTTGAAAGCAAATTTAATAGGCAATTTCCTGAAAATTTGCTTCTGAATTCATCCTTATCTATTATTCAACCAATCGTTCAAATGTCCTTGATTACCTGAAAATACACGAAAGTTTCAACAAATACTTTAACTCATATAAAGACTAAAAAAGCTTATTTTTTCACATAACTTAATAAAAAAAAGTTTAACAATCTTATGAAGAATAATAAAGTTTTTAACAAAAAAATTTATATATAGATATATAGAAAAAACATGTCCTCAATCCTACATTCTCTGACTACTAATGTTTATAGAAATTTCACAGATTATGACAAAAATGTATAGAGTTTGGTTAATGGTCATTTGATTATTTAATCAAGTAAATAAATGAGTAAGAGTCATATTAAAAAAGACCATCTATAATAGTTCTAAGAGCTCTGGTAGTAGTAGAATCCTTGATTCTCAGAATACCTTTTTTTGAGTAGCTATTGTTTTTTTTGTTGTGCTTTAAATTATGAATTATAGTTACTCTCAATTCACCCTTTTATATTTGGTAGGCAATTCTTAATTTGTACCAGGTTGGAGGCTCATTAATCAGCCCAAGTAATTTGCACAAATTAAAAAATTCTAATAACAACAATAAATTTGAGTTTTAATAGAATGAAAATACCGTTATTCTACTCGAATAAAATGTTCTTACTATTCATTTTTTTTCATAACCTTTAGCTTCTGCTATTACCGGTTTGAACTCAAAAAACCATACTTACATTCTTTTACTGTATATTACAGTAATTTCAGAAGTATGTAAGAATTAACAAAGCTTATAAAATTTAGTTTTAAAAGCGAAACCCTTTAAAAATAAGGAATACTATTATTATTCTTTTTTTAAATACGATTCATCATAGATTATAAGAAAAGTTTTTTTTCATTTAAAGAATATATATATATATTTTTTTATAAACTACATAGTACGTGTTTATTACCTAACATATTTTGTATAATTGAGATTTTTAATGATACTTTTAAGGCCAATATATATATTTTTTATAGCGTATTATATTAGAACTTTGACGAATTGTCATTATTCTGGTCTGTAAAATTATAAACATTATAACAGTATCACATATATTTAATTTTACATTTTAGTAGCATATCAACCATGGAAGAGTGAATATAATTATGATAATAATTTAGATCAAATATTCTAAAATTTATAAAAT